AAGAAGAAGAAGAAGAAGAAGAAGAAGAAGAAGAAGAAGAAGAAGAAGAAGCAGCAGCAGCAGCAGCAGCAGCCCAGAAAAGGGCCAGGAAGAGAGTGGAAGTAGGGCTGCCTCTCTTCCCCAGCTATCCTTAGAGAGGTGCAGACAGAACTCCCCGCTTGTTGTTTGGACGGAGCCACAGCCCATCCTGGTCCGTATTGTGGAGCTATTTTTTTAAGAAGCTTCCAGGAGGGAAGCGAGCCCTGCCCTCCCCAGCCCCCAACAATCGAGAAGTCCAAGATTTTCCTGTAACTGGGGACAGACATCTATTTCCACATCCTCCAAATTCCAACAAGTAGCAACAAAGAGAATGGTTCTCGCTCTTTCAAGAGCAGGCTCCTTTATCCTCATTTATCTCTGCTATGTTCGGGTGCAACATTAAAAATATCTGGTGCTAAGGAGTGTTCTAAATCAAAGGCTGTTCCCACTGCTCTCAAATTGCAGGTTCAAAGGGGGAGGGGGGCAGAGAGAGGCAGGCAGGCAGAGAGGACAGCAACCCCCTGTGTTGTAAGCTTGCACTCAATACTTTAGTATTAGGTCAGACTTTGCTGTTTACACCAGCCCTGCAGAGCGGCCCAGAGGTTCAGATCCCTGACTGGAAGGCTGCACTGACAAAGATAAGTATACTACAGTACCTCCTCATAACATAGTCCATTATTGACATGGCATGACAGTGGTGGCGCTGAGGCTGCTTTGGAGTATATACTATTTTTTTAAAGTTCACTTTTACCTCTCAGGTTACAACAAGAATCAACCAACATAAATGGCTCCCCACTGTCTCCTCAGAGGCTACAATGCAACATTCAACTGCATGCAGAAATCTCATGCTCCAACGATGTGCATGCCAACTTGATACCTTTAGATGTTTAATTCTTTTAAAAAATTCATTTTTCACACAAGGTCCCAAATTATATTCAGCATTCCTACATCCATTCCACCCCATCAGACTCATGTAACACATACACACCGAGGAACTATCACTTGCACAGCCTAACAAGGGTCTCAACTCCTGAAGGGCCAAACATCTGTTGCCCAAATTAGCATCACCCCTAGACAATACTACAAAATTTGCAAAGACAAAAGAGGGAGGGGCTCCACATCTGTCCAATAAGGTCAGAACATAGGCCATGGCTGCAGAACAATGGCTAGGGGAAAATATCGTGGAAATGGCTGAAATCCTGGACAGGAAGCAATTCACAAATTACCCCCATGCAGTCAGTCCTCTTAGCAATGGAAAAGCTGCCTCAGGTGCACTGATGTGTCTGCGTACTGAATGTTATGTGCGAGTTCTTGTTTGACTTTGTTGTCAGTCCACAAATCCTGTTTTTCTCATTTATCTTCCAGTGAACAACACTGCAAGAGTGATGGAAAAATATTTCCAAAGTCTCTTGGCTCTGCCTCAGCAGGTCCTGTCCTTTCCAGGAGAGTATAAACCATTGCTTTCCAGGCCTGGAGCAGCTGCACTGTCTGTTACACACACCTCCCTGCTCCAAAGACCTGTATAAACTCTGTCCATATCCACCTTAGGTTTCTGTTCTCCAAGCCCCTATGTGAAACCCCTGGCAGAGTTTCACTGAAAAGCTTTGACTGGTTCACATCCATCTGACATCAGCATATCCTGCTGGCACGGATCCTGTGACCCAGGGACACGAGGCACGCTCACCTTCTAGACTGTCCTCAGCCCAAGGGGTCCCCTCACCTGAGCAACAATCTGTGGTCCTGCCCTATTCCTTGCCACCATGACCACCAGCTGAGCCGCCCGGGGATGGAGAGCCCAGAGGCTCCTGGTGGACTCTTGATTCAAATGTTAAAGCATCTCGTTAAGCTAATCTCTCTTATTAAAGGGATGAAGAGCCAAATGCATCTCGTTAAGCTAATCTCTCTTATTAAGAGCCTACAGCTTTTGAAGTACTAGTCACAAACAAAAAAACATTTTTTTTAAAGTTCTGCCTTTTATTATCTAATAATATCCTTAGATTTTCCTTCACTGTTTAAGGGGAGAGAAAATTTTTCCAAGCCTAAGCTTTCTGGAATTCCTCTGGAAACAGCTGGTTATTACATTAGCCTCACTGTCATTTTGTTAGCTTTTTAAAAAAAAGAAGCTCAGGGCAGAGGGAAATGGTCAAGCCAGAAAAGGCCTAAATGGGAAAAATAAGCTGAGGCTCCCTACTAGTCCCTCTAGCAAGATGCATCCGCTGTGCCTCTGCAACGCCAGGGAAGTGCCACTGTGGGAGGTAACTACCTTTTTGGGATGAGACACGATGAACGCTAGCAAGCTTCTCCTGCCAGTGAGTGTCCTGAATGGACACAGCCCAGCAGCTCCTGAACAGGAACAGCCAGTGCTCTCGGAGCCCAACGGGCTCAGAAAGAGCTCCAGCCTGTTTCAAAGCAAAGGAGCACAGAGAAAACCAGGCTTTGATTTACAGGCAAAGGAAAAGACTGGTCACCACCTGAAGGCCCCATGCATCGGTTTCCCCTTGATCGAAGCATTTTGTTGGCCGGCTGAAGCAGAAAACCAAGGCTGCTGCTGCTGCTCCAAGGCCACCCCGTCTCCTGGGGCCAAAGCACCGGGAAGCGCTCTGCCTGCCCCCCCCCCCGCAAGGCACACATAGAGCCAACTTCCAAGACGGCTGTCATCCCTGCCGAGGCTGCTGTGGCTCCGTGCACTGAGGCAAGGCAGTGACGCAGATGTCCCCCTCCCCCAGCGTGCCAAGGGGGGGGCGGGTGAGCCAGCCGGCAGGAATTTCAGACCGCCAATCTCTTCTCCCCAGTCATGCGCAGGGATCCATTCCTGTGACCTTGCTCGCCACAGGGCGGTATTACCAGGAGTCACACGCTTCTTTGCCCAGGAGCTATGGTGGCATGCAGAAGCCATCTTGCTGAGAGGACTAAGACTTGCCCCTCGGAGTCAGAGAGATGCTTATTTACCACTTTTCAGGTCCACAAACCACCGTTCCTCCGCATGGTACCCTTACGGTGATCTGCAAAAGCAGCCCGTGTGCTTGTCAAAAGAGTCAGTGTTTGAGCATCCCTGAAGCTCCTGCTGCACCAACCCC